GAGCGCGTGCTGGGCGGCCCCCAGGAGGTGGGCGGCTCCGAGGCGGTGGGCCCGATGGAAAGCCAGGGCGCGCGGGGATGGGGCCCATGCAGCAGAGGATGGGCAGGCCGAGATCCCGGGGACCTGGGCGGCACTTGCTGGAGCGTTAATGTGGTCATCTCGAATTTCTCAGTCCTTTCCCCTCCCTGCTGTCAGTGGCCACAGTCATGTGGCCGAAGCATAAGGTGAGGGCCAGGAAGTGCCCGCTCCCAGAAGACCTCCGTGGCCCGAGGGTCTTGTCCATACACTAATTCTCAAGGAGGAAGGGCCGTGTGGGAGGCAGTCCACTCTGTGACTAACAGACCTGCGCCTTTAGGGGGCTTGGAATGAGAAATCAGTGTGATGTTAGGGGATGTCACCTTCCCCCGCCTTCCTGAAGCCCCTAATGTACTCTGTCTGGAACAGATCTTTCCTTCCCAAGCCCTCCTGATGCCTTATTTGCCTCTGACTGCTTTTCGAATACCACTTTGGGGGCTGAGGCCCTCATGGGGCCTCCCCAAGTTCCAGCCCCTTGCCACTCAGTCAGAGCCCTATGGATCTCCCATCTCCCGGAGGAACCGTGAAGCCAAACAGAAGCGACTCCGAGAGAAGCAGGCTGCCCTGGCAGCTGGGACAGCCAGAAAGAGCAAGGTTAGGGACCTGACATCTTGTCATTGGGTGTCCGAGAAGACTTGGGAGGGGGCTGGGGAAGAGACTAAATGGGCTCCCAGGGGCCTGGGTATACTGTGAGCTGTATCCCCCCATTATGATTCCTGTTCTCCTCAGTCACCTGCAGAATCCAGTAAGACCTGGACTCCTAAGGAGGTAGTGTTGTATGAAATCCCCACGGAACATGGAGAAAAGAAAGGTAACTGGGAAATTGAAGGTTTCACTCACATTTTTGCTGACCTTTTGGAAACAAAGTGTAGGAGTTAATGGAGCTCTTCTCTGCCTCTGCAGATGTCTCCCAGCCCCTGCCTCCTGCTTACAGCCCCCGCTATGTTGAGGCTGCCTGGTACCCTTGGTGGGTGAGAGAGGGCTTCTTCAAACCAGAATATCAGGTTAGTGCCTAGAGGGAAGGGTACCAAATGGCCCCCGGTACAGGAGGCCTGTGAGGCTGGGCACAACTGACCCTGGGTCTGGACCTCATAGACAGCCACATTCCTGAGTAGTCTCCACCTCCATAACACCCCCCACCCCAACCCTCCCACCCCAGCCTTACAAAAAAAAAATGTCAGTGAGAGCTGCTTTCGGCTTCCAAAGCTTTCTCCAGGCAGGTTCCCCCCTTTCCTGTTATTAGCTGGTTCTTTCCTGCAATTCCTTCTCTTTGGGAGACACCAGAGGGTGCCATTCCCCCAGGAAACACCGAGTGTTCTTGCCCTTTGAGTTTTCTCTTTTTTTCTAGACCAGGCTGCCCCAGGCCACCGGGGAGACCTTTTCCATGTGTATCCCACCTCCCAACGTCACTGGCTCCCTACACATTGGCCACGCACTGACGGTGGCCATCCAGGATGCCCTCGTGCGCTGGTGAGGGGACGGGCGTGCCTGAGCCCTTGGAGGGGCTGTGCAGGTGTGGGAAGGAGTAGAGGCTACGCATGTAAGCGCATGGGTCACAGGAGTATTTCCTTCACAGGCACCGGATGCGTGGGGACCAGGTGCTGTGGGTCCCCGGATCAGATCATGCAGGAATTGCTACTCAGGTATATCTTTTGCTACTCTTCCCTTTTCTGGGTGAAAGAGGTTTCTCCCAGATTGACCTCATTCGTCTCACCATAGGCTGTGGTGGAGAAACAGCTATGGAAAGAGCGAGGAGTGCGGAGACACGAGCTGAGCCGGGAAGCCTTCCTCCAGGAGGTGTGGAAATGGAAGGAGGAGTGAGTATGAGGGAAGTGGGGAAGGGGGCAGGTGGCAGGTTTGGGTCCCCGCTTCCGGTTGATACCCCTCCCATCTAGTCCTGCTTTCTCTCGAAGTGTTGGGTGGGGTCTTGGAACTTTGTGTGTTACATAGCTTAAAACATGTATATATTTGTGTATACATACCTGTGTGTACACACAGGTGCACCTTCGAGTTATAGCACATTCGTTTCCAGATTGCTGCAGTAATACAAATATTGTAATAAACTGAGTCACACGAATTATGAAAATAGTGTTTACACTATTCTGCAGTCTACTAAGTGTGTGACAGTGTTCTGTCTAAAAAAAGCACATGCCACTGAAACACTCGTTTGCAGTAATGCCAGCCGTCTCTGAGCCTTCGGGACTTATGCATTTTTTGCTAGTTGAGGGTTTTATAAAACAGGCAACACCGGCTCCTTCATCATGAGCATGGTGAGTGGGTGCTCACATGGTTGTGTGAGATGTGCCTCCCTTAAACCTTGTTACGATGTCGGCACGTTAATCTTCTGTCATGAAGGGAAAAAAGGCACATGGAAGCGAAGCTTCATAAAACCAGGTGTGCTGAATACACGCGTGCATTTTCTCTTTTTCCCCTGCATATCCTGTTTTCCCTTGCTGGGATTTGTCATCTGTCCTACTCATCTGCTCCTACCTCTGCTTCAAATTGCCTTCATCAGGCTGTTAGGAAGTACCATCTTTTCTATACAGCTTCTTTGGGCCTCCCACACAGGGCCACCCCCTTCTGTTGCTGTCGAGCTTTGTGCAGTCTTTATGCCCTGGGAGGCCCGCACAGGTTCCCTTAGTTTCTAGTTGGAGGCTAGATCCATGCCGCACTCAGTCTTGCGCCCGGCATGCTGAGTAGTGCCGGGCCTGGCGCACAGGCAGTGCTCTGCATGTCTGCTGACAGATAACTCTCTGCACCCAGGAAGGGTGGAGAGATCTCTGAGCAGCTCCGGGCTCTGGGCGCCTCCCTGGACTGGGACCGAGAGTGTTTTACGATGGATGCCGTGAGTGTCTGTGCCTCGCTCCCCATGAGTGTCGGGAGCGGGACTACGTGGGCCCTGAGTGGGGTAACGGGCACAGGAGGGGGATGTGGACACTGAGGTCATTTCAGGGCTCCTCGGTGGCTGTCACTGAAGCTTTTGTGCGGCTCTACAAGGCAGGACTGTTGTACCGGAACCGGCAGCTTGTCAACTGGTCATGTGCTTTAAGATCCGCCATCTCAGATATCGAGGTGAGTGGGAGGGGAAGCAGGGCTGTGAATGCTTTGGGGTGAGAGCCGCTCCGCCTGGGTTTAGGGCAAGTCCTGCGCTTTAGCACTGTGACTTCTGGCTGTTAGCCTCATGAAGCCTCAGTTTCCTCAGCCTGTAAATTAGGGATGATGGAAGTGCCTGCGCGCTGGGGTTGTTAAGAGGATTAAATGAGAACCCATGGGAGGTGATGGGCATGATCCCGTGTGGGGCTTAAATGCTCAGTGAGTATTCATGTTAACCAATTGCTCAAGAACTAGGCTAGGGGAGAGGAACTTCCCAGCCCTCTGAATGGCTTTGAGGTGGGCTGTGGGGAGCCCCCCCGGGGTGGATCAGTGGAGGCTGGCACCCCAGTGTGAGCTTGCTACTCTCTGACCCTGCTTCCCTGATGCCTCCAGGTGGAGCACCGGCCCCTGCCTGGGCGCATGGAGCTTCGGCCGCCCGGCTGCCCCGCTCCTGTATCTTTTGGCCTCCTTGTTTCTGTGGCCTTCCCCGTCGATGGAGAGCCTGGTGAGAGCAGTCTCCTGCTCCTTCCTGTTTTCTCACACTAGTGTTGGGCACATGGGAACCCATCACCCTGTTGCCCACTGGACTGTGTAACAAAAGTATACATGGGCACTGCCCTCTGGGAGTTCAGTGTGATTCTGCGTGAGACTGCTGCCCAGGGAGACACAGATTGGTTCTGGAATGTGGGTTGAGTAGTCAGTCAGTGCCTTGAAGAGTTCAGACAAGGGGAGGGCAGAGCAGCTGGAACGGTCAGGAGGGACTGGAGCTTGGCCGGAAGAATGCGCAGCATTTGTGACAAGGCCCTGAGAATCCCCGGCGTCATCTGGCCCCACGCAGAGAGTCCAGTTGCTTTTATTCATGCTACACCTGTTCCTCCTGTGCGAAGTGTCCAGGAGTTCTCAGACCAGGTGCCCCATTGGCCTCTCATGTGTGTGGAAATCCCCTGTAGACACTGGCCTGAATTTCCTTTAGTTACACGCAGGGCCTCTCTTTTCCAGTGCTCCTGGCTCTAACTATGTGGGAATGAGGGGTAAGGGCGATACCAGCAGTGTGTGTTTTTTGTCTTCAGATGCAGAGGTTGTGGTAGGAACCACAAGGCCGGAGACATTGCCTGGAGACGTGGCTGTGGCTGTTCATCCCGATGACTCACGCTATACAGTAATCCCCCGTGTGCTCCTGCTGCCCTGCCTCCCTGCCCCCCAGCTTTATTCCTTCTCCTTTTAGAGTGGTAGCCCCCTCTTTTTCTTTTTTAAAAATATTTATTTGTGCATACAGAGCTGGGGTACAGGCCCGAGGTGCAGGGGCAGTGAGAGGATTCACCAGAGATAGAGTGGGGAGCAGAACAGGGAGACTGACGAAGTATACTGCTGAGGGGAGCAGCAGGCGAGACAGGAGAGTTCTGCTGCGCCACATACGTCACCTCCTTGGTCGGAGATCGAACTCACAGTGAAGCGGCCACGTCTAGCTTCACAGTACTGTGCTTTAACCTGTTGTGCCACCAGGGAGGGCCCAGCACCTCTTTTCCTGCTTCTGTTTCTCCCCCAAGACTTCTGTCATCTCAGCTACCCTGTGGCTCTGAAGTCTCTCCCTTCTCGTCTTGATGTCATACTTTTTCTGTAGCTTGGTTGGCAAGCCGTGACCAAGGCCACACCACCTCCTGTCTGTGTGCCATGCTTACTTGACGCATTATCTGCGCTGTGACGTCCTATCTGACCCGCTCGAGTAGAGGAGTGGTGAAGAGACTGATTTGCCTCTTGACCCACAAAGTCTAACATATTTACCCTCTGGCTCCTTAGTAGAAAGGTTGCTGACTTGTTAGAGCTCTTTACCTTCTGGCTTCACCCTCTTATTCCCTCGCCCAGCTTGTGCCCAGCTCAGACCTTCCCACCCCACATATGTGCCACCCTCGACCTTTCTCCCTTCCCCTCAGCATCTCCATGGGCGACAACTTTGTCATCCTTTGACTGGGCAGCTTCTCCCCCTCATCACAGACTCCGCTGTTCAGCCTCACCTGGGCACAGGTGAGTAGAGGTCAGGGGAAGAGGAGAAGGTCAGGTGCTGGAGGCGAGCAGAGGAACCAGGAGGAGGGGGAGGGTAGTGGGGTAGGGAATCCTCTGTCAGGGTGTCTGAGTGAGTAGTGGGGGTGCTGAGAGGAGAGGAGAGTGTAGCCAGTGTGGTTACACGATAGTGCTGGGAGAGCAAAGCCAAAGGTGGGGTGCAGAGCCTACTGAAGTTCTGGTCCCCCAGGGGCAGTGAAGGTGACTCCAGCTCACAGCCCTGCTGATGCCGAGCTGGGGGTTCGGCACGGCTTGAGCCCCCTGAGTGTCATTGCAGAGGACGGGACCATGACCTCCCTCTGTGGAGACTGGCTGCAGGTGGGACCAGCCTCCGCTGCCCTCGCCTTTGGGGGCACCCTCTGCCCTTCCCCTCTCTCGTGCTTTCTGGCTTTCCTGGTGGCCTTCAGCCTTTACCATTGGTCTTTTTTCCCTAGGGTCTCCACCGATTCGTGGCTCGAGACAAGATTGTGTCTGCACTGAGGGAGCGGGGCCTGTTCCGGGGCCTCCAGGATCACGCCATGGTGCTGCCCATTTGCAGGTATCCCCATTTTAACTCCGTGACTCAGGAGCCCTCCATCCCCCAAGGGAGAGGGTACATCTAAGACTGACAACAGCCTGGGCTGGCCCCTGCCCTGGGAGCCAGGCCCTGAGCCAGGCATGGGGCCACTCAGTAGAGGCCTGGAGCAGATGAGCCTGTGTCCCTGGGGGACGCACGGGGCTGGAGCAACAGTGGCCTCACCCCGTCTCCTTTCAGCCGCTCGGGGGACGTGGTGGAATACCTTCTGCAGAGCCAGTGGTTTGTCCGCTGCCAGGAAATGGGGGAGCGGGCTGCCAAGGTGAGGCCGCAGTGCGGGGAACAACTGAGGCCTGCGGGGGCTATGCCCTGGGATTGGAGGGGGAAATGGGAGGCTGGAGGTCCTCTGCCCTGTGGCCCCTCTGATAGTGGTAACTGAGAGCGGAGTTTTGGAACCAGCTTGCCCCCCAGAGGCCACTTGCCCTCCGGAGGGCAGGTGCGGGGAGGGAGACACGTCCAGTGGCCCTTTCCCTCCAGGCTGTGGCATCAGGGGCTCTGGAGCTCAGTCCGTCCTTCCACCAGAAGAGCTGGCAGCACTGGTTCTCCCACATTGGGTAAGGGAAGGGGTGCTGGCGTGGAGATTGGGAGCGGGGCCCCCCTGGTTATGCTGAGAAATCACTGATGCCCCATCGGCAGGGACTGGTGTGTCTCCCGGCAGCTGTGGTGGGGCCATCGGATTCCAGCCTACCTGGTTGTGGAGGAGTGTGCAGAGGTGGGTAGGGGGAGGTGACGGGAGGCGGGGCGGGCAGGAAGACCGTTAGGGGGGAACCGCGCCTTTGGCCAGCCCAGGCCAGCCCAGCTGCAGGTGTTAGTGTCCTGCCCACTGAGCCTCCTAATTCCAGGCCTGGGTGTCTTCATCTCGCTGCCGGAGGGGGTGGCCATCCTCAGGAGGGACTGCGAAGCACAGTGATGTCGCTGCTCACTCTCCCATGCTCACCTCTACAGGGTGACAGAGAGGACTGCTGGGTGGTTGGGCGAACAGAGACTGAGGCCAGAGAAATAGCTGCAGAGCTCACCGGGAGGCCAGGGGCACAGCTGACCTTGGAGCGGGGTGAGTGGCTGAGCCGTGGAGGGCAGGGCAGGCTTCTAGGACTTTGTGAGAACAGCTGAGCTGGAGAAGGTAAGGACAGGAAAGTGGGAAGAGGGCCAGCGAGCTGCCCCTGGTCTCTGGGGAAGGGCTGGCCTGCGCCCTAGAAGCTGAGGTTCCAGTGGTCCTGTTGTTGTTCTGCTCCCAGACCCTGATGTCCTGGACACCTGGTTCTCCTCCGCCCTTTTCCCCTTCTCCTCCCTGGGCTGGCCCCAAGAGGTGAGGTGGGCTGAGGGGACGCTTGGAGGTGGGGATGACGGAGGGACACCTGGGACATCTGGAGTCTCAAGGGAGGCTGGAGGCTTGCACTCCACTGCTTGCCTCTTTCTTCGTAGACCCCGGACCTCACTCGTTTCTACCCCCTGTCCCTTTTGGAAACGGGCAGTGACCTCCTGCTCTTCTGGGTGGGCCGCATGGTCATGCTGGGGACCCAGCTCACAGAGCAGCTCCCCTTCAGCAAGGTAAGAGCCCTTCAGTGCCCTGGCCCTCTCGCTCCTCGCTTTCCCCCAAACCTTGTCCTGTGTTCAGCCCCAAAAGTGGTGTTGTCCATAATCTGATCCTTTTCTCCTGATTTACTTCACACCTGCACCCTGAAGCAGGAGGCCTGAGGCCTGAGGGTGCTCCAGGGACAGGTTCTCTAGCCCCCCACCGCTGACCCCCCGGACCCCTTCAGGTACTGCTTCATTCCATGGTTCGGGACCGGCAGGGTCGGAAGATGAGCAAGTCCCTGGGGAATGTGCTGGACCCACGCGACATCATCAGTGGGGTGGAGCTGCAGGTCAGGGTGAGGGTGTGGTGAGATGGGGGGAGACGGGGGAGCCTGAGGAGAGGAGCTGGCTGGGAGGGACCCGAGGTGGGACCCCGTAGGCGCAGGGAGACTGAGGCCAGCGAGTTACCCATCCCAGGTGCTGCAGGAAAAGCTGAAGGATGGGAACTTGGACCCCACAGAGCTGGCGACTGCGACCACCGCCCAGGTGAGTCCCAGTGCTTGTGTGCCCCAGCCCTGTGTGGCCACTGCTTCCTCTGCAGCTGGGGCTTCTGGTCCTGCAGCCTCAGGGCGCCTCCTGCCCCTCTCCTCCCTCTGCTGACAGAGAAAGGACTTTCCTCACGGGATCCCAGAGTGTGGCACAGATGCCCTGAGATTCGCCCTGTGCTCCCACGGAGCTCTGGGTAAGCGTGCAAGGGAGGTTTTGGGGCACCAGAGGGCAGCAGGCACCCGTGCAGAGGTGCAGAGAACCCAAGGCTCCATGCTGCCACCCACAGGCACACACCCCTCCCTCCCACCCCCTAGGAGGCGACTTGCACCTGTCTGTGTCTGAGGTCCTGAGCTGCCGGCATTTCTGCAACAAGATCTGGAACGCCCTGCGCTTTATCCTCAGTGCCCTGGGGGGTAGTTTTGTGCCCCAGCCTGCAGAGGAGGTAAGGGAAAGTGGAGGAGCTTGGCAGCGAGAGAGAGTGGTTCTGTCTGAGGTTGGAGGTGGCACCTGGAAGGAAGGGGGGTGGTTCCCGTCCTGAAGTGCCGTCTGCCAGCAGCTGTCGCCCTCGTCCCCCATGGACGCCTGGATCCTGAGCCGCCTTGCCTGCACCGCCCTCGAGTGTGAGCGCGGCTTCCTCACCCGAGAGCTCTCCCACGTCACCCACGCCCTGCACCGCTTCTGGCTGCACAACCTCTGCGATGTCTACTTGGTGAGCGCCCCCGGGACGGCATGGTTGAAGTTGGCCTCCGTGGCCGAGAGCTCTAACGAAGGTCCCTGCTGGTCTCCTGTTGGGGAGAGAGACAGGTGGGAAGTCCCATTCCTCTGTACCAGGGGACAGGTCTCAGCAGGCAGCCCGGGCCCTCTTGCTGTCTGTCACCTGAGGAGAAAGAGCAGGAGGTGGAGACTGCTAGAACACTGAGTCTGGCAGAACAGCTTCGTCAGGCTGTTGGAGACTCTGTTTCAGATTTGTCATTGCTGAGTTAGGACCCCAGCGGGTGGCGACCTGTGACTGACCACAGGGAGACCAGTGGTCTTTAGTCCAAGCTTTCTCACACCTGACCCTGCAGAGCTCCGGGGAGGGCTGGCCAGCCCAGAGCGGCAGGCCCCCCCCCGCCCCCAGGCTCATTCTGCAGGACGAGCGTCTCATTTCTCATCCCCAGTGGTGCTGAGGCTGCAGGCCAAGGCCGCCCCCCAGGTCACTGTCTCAGACTTTTCACAAACATCTGGGTCTTTTTGATAAGCCGAAAACACAACCCTTTTCTTTCTAATCCGCCCAGTCCGCCCCAGCCTTTGTTGCCCACCTGCCGTGAGCATGCCCAGGGTGCGTGGGTACAGCCCGTTGTGGCAGAGCTGCTGGGGCTCCTGCCCTGTTTACCCACAGCGCCACCCCGGGTGGGTGCGTAGGGCAGCGTGCATGGCCCTGAGCCTCTGACCTCCTCCCCAGGAGGCTGTGAAGCCGCTGCTGTCGCGCTCGCCCCGGCCCCCCGGGCCTCCTCAGGTCCTGTTCTCCTGCGCCGACATCGCTCTATGCCTCCTCGCCCCACTGATGCCCTTCCTGGCTGAAGAGCTCTGGCAGCGGCTGCCCCGCAGGCCTGGCAGCCCCCAGCCCCCCAGCGTCTGTGTTGCCCCATATCCCAGTGCCCGAAGCTTGGTGAGTCCCGTGTTGAAGGTGCTGGGGCAAGCTGGGGTGCAGTGTCCTGACGGGCCTGTGGCCGTGGCGGAGAGTGGCGGAGGGTTCCTGAAGGGTGGGGGACTTCTCAGGGCCCAGGGGCCCAGAGCAGGCCTGTCCCAGGCTGCCACCAGCTGGCTGTGTGCCTGTGGGTCAGATTCTGCCATCTTTTAATTGGAGAAGGTACTAGTTTATCCCAAAAATCTCAGGGCAGTTTTAAGTTTTAATAACTTCAGGAGGACAAGTGCTACAAATTCACCCACAAAGTCATTTTCAAGTTTGCTTTTTAAAATTTCTTATTTATTTGCTTTTATGAGTTGGGAATAATATGGGAATAATATGGGAATAATATGTCTTTAGCTCTTATTTTGGGTCCTTTACCATCTTTAGCCAGAGCATCTAAACAGACATCAACCACTGTGCCTCTAAAACCTCCTTAGATGACTCCCGGTGTTTGCCACGTTATGTTCCTTGAGGTGGCGAATTTTGGGTGTGGTGAAGAGGCTGGGCCCTGTTGTCCTGAGGAGCTGGTGTGGGGGCGCCTGCGGGGGGTCTCCCAGGAGACTGCTCATCAGCTCTGTGTCCCTGCTCTAGGAGCACTGGCACCAGCCCGAGCTGGAACAGCACTTCTCCCGGGTGCAGGAGACAGTGCAGGCGCTGAGGTCTCTCCGAGCCATGTATCAGCTCACCAAGGCCCGGCCTCGAGGTGAGGCGGGTCCGACTCCCTAAGGGAAGAAGGGGCTGCCAGGGAAGAGGGGAGAGCCTGCAGCCCAGGGCCTGGAGTGCAGGCTGGAAAGAGCTGGTGCCTGGGTCCGACCTATCCTTTCCTCCCCAGTGCTGCTGCAGAGCTCAGAGCCTGGGGAACAGGGCTTGTTCAGGACCTTCCTGGAGCCGCTGGGCACCCTGGCCCACTGCGGGGCTGTGGGCCTCTTGCCCCCAGGTGCAGCAGCTCCCTCGGGCTGGGCCCAGGCCCAGCTCAGTGATACCGTCCAGGTGCACATGGAACTTCAGGTGAGCAGGGATGGAGGGGAGGAGGTTGGAAAAGGGGAGCTCACAGACCCCAAGAAAGCGAGGCGGGGTCCCTGGAACTGGGCAGGCTGCAGACGTGTGAGCGTCCCTGTCTGTTCTGTAGGGCCTGGTCGATCCCCAGACCCAGCTACCTCTGCTGGCTGCCCGAAGACACAAGTTGCAGAAACAGCTCGATGGCCTCATAGCCAGGACCCCGTCAGAGGGGGAGGCAGAGACTCAGAGACAGCAGAGGGTGAGGCTGGGGAGGCCACCAGAAGCCAGCCTCAGCGGGACTATGGGCAGCAGGGTAGGCCTCAGGCCTGGGTCCTCACCTGCGCTCGCCTTCCCCCAGCTCTCTTCGCTCCAGTTGGAATTGTCGAGATTGGACCAGGCGGCCTCTCACCTGCGGCAGCTGATGACTGCGACTTGCTGCCCCCAGGAGCCCTGAGCTCTCCTCATCTCCCTGGTGGCTTTCCTCTCTCCCAGGCCTGCCTTTGAGGAGAAACAGATTTGGCAGCTGCCAGGATGCCAGGGCCTCAGAGACTGTGTGCCCCTCACTTTCTGTGTGAAACAGCTTCCTCCTGTGCAGCCTGCTCGGAAGTTTAGGGATGAGAGAATTCAGATAAACTCTGAATCCCAGCTACTCTGCTTGTGGTGCTTTTGTTTGTCTCTCCTTGTGCTGACTTTGTTGTCTCTCAGCTGTTCTCTGAGACTTTGGTTTGGGAAAGGAGGCGGGCTGCCTCTTAGGTTTGGACCTTGGGCCACAACGGGAATGTGGGTGTAATGAGGAGCCTGCCTCCTTGGAGGACAGAGGCGCTTTCTCGCAGGGCCTGGGCACAGGAGTCTGTGCTGCCTCTCTCCCGGACGGCCAGCACCTGCAGGCCCTTCCTCTGCTGCTCCCTGGGTGGTGGAAGTTTCCAGCTCCCTGGCCCTATCCCCAGGGGTACTGAGAGGAGTGGGGACTTCCTGTAGGTTTGAGAGGCTGCAGGGGGGTTGAGAGCCCACCTTCGGCTTTGTGCCTGAAAGCAGAGTCCACAGACCGGAGGCACACACCATTCCCTGCTGGCGATACCTCCGAGTGGGCAGACACCTGCCTCTGTACCCTCGTCAGCTGCCTCGTTTTGTTGGAACTGGGGGGTCTTCCACGCCCGGCTATATCTGCCCAGCAGCTCTGAGTAACTTCCGTCTGGGCAGGCCTGTTACCGACTGGGTCCTCCTGGCAGCTGCAAGGCCCCCGAGAGCCCTGTAAAGGGAGCGTTCTCTCCACTTGGAAGATGCTCCCAGGGAAAACCAGTACCGAGTCAGGTGTTGGCGGGGTTCAGCCCAGCAAGCTCAGTGCAGATTCTGGCTTCTGACACCAACCTGCAAGTATCGTGGTAGCTAAACCGGAGGGCGTCTTCTCTGCTGGTCGAACCGTGCGGCCTCTCCGGCAGCAGGTCCACGCCCGCTCTGAGCCCACTTCCTGCCCTTCTCCGATCATCCCAACTGTGGGTGAAAGATCTGTCCCCTCCCACTACCATGTGCACACACACACAGGGAAGAGGAAGAGGGGGGATGGGCAGCATCCCCTTTTATTTCCATTTTCCCCTTATCAATTGTGTATTTGAAAAGTTATTACAAATTATTCCAGTTGTTTGTCTTTATTTAGTGTAGCTACTAACCTCAGGTGGCTTCGGTCCATCTGTACTGGATGTGCGGAAAGGGGAGCAGAGCCCTGGTCTCTTGCACAGAACATACCCCCTCCCTCGTCCCCCCCCCGTTGCCCCCCCCCCGCTTTGATGGCTGAGCTCTTCACAGGCATTTCCTAGGTGAGGTGACCCAGCAAATGAAATCTCCCCAATTCCAGGAGTATTCTCAAAACAGGTTTACAGTGAAAACTAATTTTAAAAAAGATGTTTCTTTTGAAAAAAATGTCATCGTCCACTCACATCATGAGCATGTTACCGAATCCACCGTGTTCACCTGGAGAGGGCTTGGCAGGTACTGGGCCGCCTGGCCCCTTCCTGGCACTCAGGGAGTTAACTGGCTGGCTGGTGTGTTTAGGGCTGGCTGAGTGAGTATTGTCAAGATAAAGACAGGAAAGTTACCACTCCTTCTAGGATTAAAATGAAACTCCAGAAAAGGACAGCTTCACCCGCAGCCCCAATCCAGACGCACCCACCCGGGCCGCACACGCCCCTTTGCCAGCCGCCGGCACAGTGAGTGCTCACAAGACCTGCTCACTCAGGCAGCGTTCACTGCACTGGCTGCTCAGAGAGGCACCAGAATCCACTGAAGCACCGTCCTTGTGGGTGTGTATCATCCTGGAGAGGAACCCAGGATTCCCCTGGTGTGTGTCCCTATTGCTTCTTCAAGGTCTGAGGGGAAACGAAACCGACAGGACAGGAGCAGGTCATTCTGCTTATTGCAGCTGCGTGAGCTGCCATCCAGCCAGGACTGAACACCCCACTCTTGCTTAGCCTGCCCGTGGGAATCACGACAACGTTCCCTCCTTGTGCTCATCAGTGACTTCAGACTGGCCAGGGTAGTCAAACTGGACGCTGGCTTTGGGACGTGGTCTCCTGGGAACCTGGCGTCTGCCTCTCAGCGCTTTGGTGCCCTTGAGAACATCAGCCAGCTCACGGGCCCATGCTGTTGGCAGCGACAGCAGAACAGCTTTTCTTTCCCCTCGTGCAGCAAAGGTTTCTTAAATTCCTGCTCCCTGGGAGGCCCTTGGATTCATCACTGAGTGAGACCAAGATCTCTGCCCTGGAAGCGCTTTTATTCTAGCAGGGAGAGTCCGAAATGACGCGTGGGGTTTGGTCTGCGTCTGAGTAGAGGTCGGCAGGACACAGCAGGGAGACAGGTATGTTAGGGGTCTGGGCTGACCTCATTGTAAAGGTGAGATTTAAGCAAAGATTTGCAGGTAAGGCAGGAATTAGCCAAGTGGATGTCTAGGTCAGGGATGAGCCACAGCAAAATTAAGGTGGAAGCATCCCTGGAGAGCTCAGAGTAGCAAGGAGCCCCATCCTTGGTGAGTGAACCATCGGCATGTGAGGTCGGGCATGAGCCATTGGTGGGGGGAAGTGGCTAGCGGGGGTCATCAGGCTGTGCTGGCCTTTGCTTACTTGACTAAGAAAAATTGAACATTCAGGTCCTCAGTCCCACTAGCCATGTTTCAAGTGTTTAATGGCCACATATGGCTGCTACACCAGTCAGCACAGGGCATAAAATATTTCCATCACCATGGAAAGCACTGGGCTAGGACGTTGGAGGCTCTTGTAAGGACTTTGTTTTCTTCCCTCAGAAATGGAGACTCCTTTCCTTTGAAGGTAGTTATTTGGAAGTTGCATGTTCCATTTCTACTTGTGTCCCTCTCACGGCAAGGGAGGCTGGGAAATGGAATGAGCCAGGCACTTAGCTAAGACTTACATGACTATCTAAAGGAGATGGCTAACAGGCAGCAGTCTGTCACCCCCACGCCTAGGTCACCCCCACGCCTAGTGAGCCCCGAAGCATTCATTGTTGCCATGCTCTGTCGTGAGTCTGGGGAAAGGATCAGATGAGTGAGAATCTGGACAGTGCAGCCGCGTGAATGCAGGCCTTAAGGCGGAGAACCAGCTGTCTACGCCTCTTGCCTTTTGGAGATCCAGACAGTCCGTCTCCCAGCTTGCTTCGGGCCTCCACACTGACCCAAGGGTGTCACCTGCCCACTGGTACAAATGAGGGGCCAGTCATAAATATTGGACCCTTGAGCCCCTAGCCACTTCTGCTCTGAGTTGTCAGATGTAACGATCAAGCGTAAACTTTCTTTACAATTGACAGTTGTAAAGGAAACTAGAGGAATTCTATTTTGTGGACTTCTCTCTTCACCCTTGCATCTCCCCTGGTGCCTCATCTCCAGGGGTGATTGTATAGAACTGGGGTTTCCACCTCTCCCCAAGGGACCAGTCTTGGATTTCCTGTGGTAGGCAGGGGTGGGCAGGGTGGGATGGAAAGTCATCATATCAGTGCCCCCAAATGGTTACGCCTGGGCTGCATGCTTGCATGTAGAGACAGCTGGTAAGGAATCAAGACGATCTTGAGTGGGAGGCACATGAGTACCTGTCTCAAGTACCCCGGGCCCCCAAGGGCACTAAGACATAAGTGTTGGGCCTGGGTTTCCTCCCAATAACCGTCTACCGCCATGCCTGCTTACCTGACAGGCACCACTGCTTGTGCCCACGGTAGCTTTTCCCAGCTTTGTGATCCCCAAACTCTCTGAGGAGCAGATGAATAGGGGCTGCAAGAGGCTGCACCTCGGACACAAGCGTGGCCCCTGTGACCTTGCGCGCCCCGTCTGCACCGCTGAGCCCTTCGTCTCTCACCTGAGCGGCCTCCCACCCACCTACCCCATTGATGTGCGACCCTGGGATGGGGCCCGTGTCCTGGGGGGGTTCTGTCCATATCCCAGTCTGGGGGAAGTTCCTGATCTCCTAGTCCTAAAGCTGAAACCGAGGAAGACGAAGCCAAGGCCCTTGTCTGGGCTAGGCCCTCTCCACCGCTGGAGCCTCTGCTTCCTCTACTGTAAAGGTGCATAATGACACCTGTTTCTTATGTTGGGGATCGCTGCCAGTGCAGGAATGGGGCGCACCATACCTCCTGTGAACAGGGGTCCAGCAGGTTTCTTTCCTTTATCCCCGGATGCTGGGAAGACCTCAACTTGAGGTGTGTGTTCCGTTAACTCAGTTAACTCCTGTTGATATTGGTGTGGAGGGAAAGAACCTCCACTTGGGAGCCCCTCTACTTAGCAAAGGGGAGGGTCAGAGTATGGGCTTCCACTTCCCTTTTCCTGCTGGCCCTAAGCTCATGAACCCACAGACTCAAATCATTGAATTCAGCACATTTACTGTCCCCAGACCCCAGGGGCCAAAGAGGTGCGGGCTGCTGTTGCTCTCAGACTTTACAGATGACGTGGTGTGGGGACCTTGAGTGACGCAGGGTGACGTTGGTCCCGGATGGGAGGTGGAGGAGGAGGCAGAGCTGGGGGAGAGACAGCATTTGAGGAGGGTCTGGACACTGCCAGGCCCCAGCGGACCAGCCCCTGCCCCCTCAGAAGCAGTCCCAGTCCACACAGTCCCGTCTTTTCCCCACCCAAAGAGCTACCTTCTCAAGCAACTCCTGGAAGCTGGAATCATAGGTAGAATTTGCCAGAAAGGAATCCTTCAGCTTCAGCTGCAAAGTCATTCCTGGCCCTGTGGGTCCAAAAGTATGACTAAGGATCCAGCCATCGGGTCCAGATCCCTTCAGATCTGTGGGGTCCACCTTCCTGCCTTATTGTCCCTCACCCCAGCTCTTCTTCCCCCCACAAAGCCACTCTCAATGCCTTGTACCCTCAGAAGCACAGAACTGGGGCACCCCATGTCTCTCGCTCCCATTCTGGCCTTCTCTTGCCGCGGGCCCCCAGTGTGCAGCCTGCAGCCCTTACCTGTCCCACGTGAGCTGCCGAGGAGGGTCAGAAGGAGGAAGAGGGGCAGCAGGGCCCCCATCTTGGCTGCTTTGCTTCTTGATGGACAGAAGAGATGCCGGAGCCCAGAATGGCCTCTTCTTATCAGAACTGCCTTTCTATGCTCAACTCAACCCTTAGCAGGGGTATTTGGGAGGCTGGAGGTGGAGGCTGGAACTGGATTTTCCAGTTCTTCCAACATGACTTTGAGGACCCAGGGGAGGGTCTCTCAGTGGGATGTTGGGGAAACAGAGGGTGGTCTCCTTTACTCAGTCCTGGGCCCCACGTGGGATCCCCTATGTTTCAAGGCTTGAGGGGGTGGGTGCCCGGTGCGACAGAGGGAGGCTGAGAGGACAGTGGGGACCAGGGAGGTTCCCTGCGACAGGTGTCTGGGCCCCACCCACGCCTGGGCCTCCTAGTGCTCCTTAGGGATTAATTATTAACTACAATTAATCGCCATCATTCTTGACACCACAGGCTCAGGAATGTGGGCCCAAAAGGGAGGGGTGGAGGAAGTTTCTTCACAAAACCTAGGTGAGAAATCTGGGCAATGGGCAACTTTCATTTTTGAATGTTTTGTTTCAGTTGCGCTAAAATATCCTAGACACTCAGGTGGAGCCATGAGTTTCATCAGATAGCCTCCCTCTCCCTGCCCAACCCCACCCCAACCCTGTCCCCCTGCCCCTCCAACCCTGTGCACTCTCAGAGACAGATGCCACCTCCCCCCCCAACACCCCTGACCACTCAGCAGGCAGGTGCATAGAGGGAGTTCAGAGCCCATCTAGATTACCTTTAAAAACTAGGAAACCAGGCTCTCCCTGGTGGCACAGCAGGTTAAAGTGCCACATTATGAAGCTCTCAGAAGCCACTGCAGCAAGAGTTTGATCCCTGGCCAGGGAGTTGACCCACATGGCACAGCAGATCTCTCCTAACCCACCCGCTGCTCCCCTCAGCAGTGTACTTCGTCAGTCTGCCTGTTCTGCTCCCCACTCTGTCTCCGGTGAAGCCTCTCACCCACCACTCCTCTGGCCTGTACCCCAGTTCTGTATGCATCAATAAATAAATCTTTAGAAAAAAACTAGGAAACTAAGGCCCAGAGAGGGTAATGACTTATTAAGGACACACAGCAGGTCAGCGTAGCGGGATTAGCGCCCACCCTGCCAGGCAGACACAGAGATAAAGTCCACACAGTTTATCCATGGATAAACTCCCAAACAGGTAGGCCCAATGGGCAAAAGCATGAGCTCTTGGCTTCCTCTCTGCCTCCCTCAGCACGAGGGATGGAGGCAGGGACAGCAGTAAGCAGTCAGGGAGAGAAGAAAAGTCACCCCAGGGAGAAGAGGGAGCCATTGTTCTCCCCCCCCTCCCCTTAAATGCAAATGGAGGGAGCCTCCAGGGACCTCCCAGACTTGAGTCCAGGATGTGGAGACCCCACCAGGAGTTTACCAGATGGAGGCTAGAGCACCAGGTTGGGACACGTGTGAGGGCATCTGGGCCCCAAGAGAAGGGGAGCACCTTTCCTAGCTATGACCCTGCCTCCTCCATTTAATCAAAGCTGACACGGCCACCTGCGCTTTAGAAAACCCCCCCCTTATGATGGAAAGGACCCTTGTCTGGCTTTCAGGGGGGCAGCCTCAGTGGGGCAGGTGCCTTTGGTGCACACCCAGCGTGGAAGTGGTAGGACCAGTGGAAGCAGTTCAGCTCCAGGGCTAGGATCTCTCCCAAACACGAGCAATCTCCCTGGTGCCCCGGTCTCCACTCACCCCTTCTCTGCCGAAGGGAAAACTGAGGGCTACTGGGTTGTCCCCGGGGTCTCGAAGGATCAGAGGCCATCTCCAGACTAACTCCTGAACCCTCCTTCCTCAAGCAACCCATATATCCTCACCCTCAATGGCTGGACTTTCAGAGGACCTTGGGGTAGTGTGCGGGGTCTCCTCTCTGAGGAGCGTCAAGGCTGGGGACTGACTCAGGTCTGGAAGCCTTAGAGGGCTGGGGCCGGGAGGTCTCAGTCTCTTACTCACTGTCCCGTCGCCCAGGGCTTCCTGGGATCAGGCTGGGACAGCTTAATCCTCTGGGGACAGCTGGCTCACCTCTCCCTGGGGATGGAGATCCCGTGTTGATGGAGGCCCCGGCACACCTGGCGCCCCGGAGCCTGGTCCTAGGCCTCGGAGCCTTTAAAGAGCTGGGGAGCTGGGCTTGGAAAAGCACCTCAGGGGCCACCATGGACGCTATGCTGGTGCTGCTCCTGGGCCTGCAGGCCGCAGCCGGACACGGTGAGCCCGGGCCCCCACAAAGGCGTTGGGATGGAATGCTGATTTTGGGCACAGGGAGAATGCTAAGTTTTCTAACTCCATATTATCATTTTTCTTTTTCCAACAGCTAAGCTGATCCCACGGGGGCTCTCTAATACAGCATCTGGAGGCATTCGCCCCCTCTCTGGGGAAATCTCCTCAGGTCTCAGGCCTGTCTCTGGAGGCCTGCCCCCAATCTCTGGAGGTCTTGCCCCCATCTCTGGGGAGATTTCTGGAGGTCTTCCTCCTGTCTCTAGAGGTCTCCCCCCTGTTTCTGGAAGTATTGCCTCTGTCCCTGGAGGTTTCCCCTCTACCTCTGAGGAGATTGCTGAAGGTCTTCCTCTTATCTTTGAAGGTCTCCCCTCTGTCTCTGGAGGTATTCCCCCTGTCTCTGGAGGTCTCCCGTCTGTCTCTGGAGGTTTCCCTCCTATCTCTGGGGAGATCACTGGAGGTCTCCCCACTATCTCTGGAGGTCTCGCCCCTGTCTCTGGAGGTCTCACCCCTGTCTCTGGGGAGACTGCTGGAGGTCTCCCCTCTATCTCTGGAGGTATACCCCCTGTCTCTGAAGTTCTCCCCCCTGTCTCTGAAGTTCTCCCCCCTGTCTCTGGAGTCCTGCCCTCTGTCTCTGGAGGTCTCCCCTCTGTCTCTGGGGGTCTCCCCCCTGTCCCTGGAGGTCTCCCCCCTGTCTCTAGAGGCCTCCCCCCTGTCTCTGGAGGCCACCCCTCTATCTCTGGAGGTCTCCCCTCTATCTCTGGGTGTCTCCCCTCTATCTCTGGGGGTCTCCCCCCTGTCTCTGGAGGTCTCCCCTCTATCTCTG